AATTGCCCATGGCGTGCAGCGGAAGAACGGGCTATTCAAGAAGGCATATGAGCTGGGAATGTTGTGTTCTGTGGACGTAGCAGTGATCATCTTCGGTGCGTTCAAGGCCGTTCTGTCGCGCATCTTGCGTCCCTGTTCTCACACACCTGCCTGCTCTATTTTTGGAACACTATCTTCCTGCTCGATGTCAACGGCGGCATGTCGATTCCCTTCTTCGTCTGACGCGCCCTGACCGCCCCGGGGGCAACTCCCGATGCCGATGGCCGATGACGCCAATGATGACGACGCCGCTGCAGAGGAACGGGCCGGCCACCATGTGAAGCTGCACGAGTACTGCTCGACCGACGTCGACAACATGGTCCAACGACACATCCATGTGTGTACATGTCTTTCGTGTTTACTTTGTGTGACTGCTTGCTGACACTCGCCCGCTCTTCTCGCGCTCTCCCTTGTGGACTTTACTGTGGCCCCCCAAACGAACTGTGTAATGTGTGATGTGATGCAATGCTGCCCATGGACGCGTCGACCCCCGTATGTCCGATGATCACCCCCAATGCACCACTCTCTCATTGCCCCCCACGCTAAATTGCAGTAACTGCAGTCTATCTATCCATCCTCTCTCGCTACTGTTCTTCTGCTCCTGCCCTCTGCACCCGGCCACACAGCCGCACATCTCGCCTGCATTGTGTTTCACTACACAGCCCTCGCAGGCTTCCTTGGTCCCTCACAACGCCTGCACGCGTCTGCTCGCACTTCCCGTTACTATCACCTCCACAGTCTGTCTGATCGGCACGCTCCCTGTCCCCCTATCCATACATCACGCGTCCGGTTCGGTCGACCTGTATTGTTGTAATGTTCTGGCATGGCTTTTTCTCACTAGTTTGACGGGGAACAAGAATCTAAGCATCCAGCTGACTTTAGCAAGCAACCAGACGATGGTGCTCATGATGATGACGACGACGATGATGAAGGGCTGAGGCTGGAGGCGCTTCTTCAGCCAGACAGCCTAGTGGATCTTCTGGAGGAACTATGGGAGGCAATGTGGGTATGAGTGGAAGAAATAAGAGTGGTACAGGATTTAATAGTAGTTCTAGTAAATACTTTTGCCTGTAATTATTTACTCAAGTATAATATATTTGTTTCTAATTCAATAATGATAAAAAAGAATGATTATTGTATGAAGCATTTTATTGTTTGAGCAACTCTGGTAAGAGCTTGTATTCTCACTCAAGTCTTGTATACTCTAACAATTTATAAAAGTATTGTAAATTTTAGAAGTCTTACAGACCTTCTAAAGATATGTCTTAGTAGCTTTTAACAAGTGTAGCAGGAGTGCCCCAAGTACTCTCTCTTATTGAGACATCAAGTGAGTGTCTACCTTATATACTATATAGTGAAGTCTGATAATCCAAGACATTCCAAGTGTAGTAACTCTACATAAGGCAATTGGGGATTTCCTAATCCAGAGTACAATCTAATACTCCCCTTCAAGCATTAATTAAGAACTAGGACTGTATGCCTAATAGTTTGTTTAGATGCTTGATCTGTAGGACATAGAGAGCTTTTGTAAGGATGTCTGCTAATTGGTTCTGTGATTGAACATAGCATACATTAATGTAATTGTTTTGAATATAACATTACACAAAGTCTTTTTGTAAATCAAGATGTTTAGTGCAAGCATTGTACATTATTTTGTCAGACTTTACAGTCTTTATTGTACCTTGATTATTATAATAAATTGTAATGGGTGCTGATTCAGTCTACAGTACTTCTTCAGTGAATTGTTTGAGCCAAATGGCTTCTTGAGTAGCATATGCTAGTGCTTACAACTCTGCTTTGTAAATAGATAGTAGTACCAGGTTTTACTGTTTGCTTGACCAAGATATGGTTGATTTAGCTAATTGAAAGATGTAGCTGTTTATTGCTTTATGTCCTTCTGTCATTTGTCTGTCTGTATCACAATAGCCTTGTAGTTTTAAGGTGTTTGTGCTTCCAAGTTGAAGCTAACAATTTATTGTATATTTTAAATATGTAAAGTAATGTTTCACTACTTTGTAGTAATGTGTTTGGGGCTTTTGTAAGTAGCACACTAATTGCCCAGTAATATAAGATATGTCTGACTGTGTACAATCTGTAACATATCTTAACAATCCTACCATATTCATGTATAGCATTGTTTCATTATTACTTTTGTTTGTATTGTACATATTGTTTGTATTGTTAGATAGATCTATTCCAGGAGTAATAGGTGTTTGTAGTGCCTTTTTGTTTTCAAAGTGGTAATGCTTGATTATACTTTCAATATAATACTTTTGTCATAAGCTAATCATTTGTTAAGGTCTATCTTGGCTTATTTCAATACCAAGTAACTAATGTATTTTGTTACTGTCAGTAAATGTAACATGTTGTCTTAATACATGTTTAAATACTGTTATTATAGTGATAGTTTTGCTAATAATTGTAATATTGTCAATGTGTATAAATGTTACAAGAATTGTTTTATTATTTTGTTTCTTGTAAAATACAGTGTGATTGTAATTAGCTTGTTCTAATCCAATCTTAAGCAGTAGTTTGGTAATCTTCTTGTACTATTGTCTACCTACTTGTTTCAATCTGTATAATGCTTTATTTAAGTATAACACTTGTCCAGGTTTAATATCTGTAAGTAGCCTGCCTGGCAGTAGTTTCACATAAATGAGTTTGTCCTCATTTAGTTCTCTGTAAAGATATGTGGATTTTACATCTATCTAATGTATTTCATAGTTCTTAGATGCTGCCCAAGATAACAATAATTGTACTGTTGATAGTTTTGTTACTAGAGCAAATAAGTCATCAGAATAGAAGTCTATTCCATTCTTTTGAGCATATCCTTACACTACAAATCATACTTTGCATTTGTCTATTCAGCTGTTAGCCAGTCTTTTGATTTTATAGACAAATTTCGTTCCAATTATATTTGTATTTATAGGGGGGATAGTATATATCCACATGTTTCATTGTTGAAGTGACTGTATTTCATCCTTCATAGCTTTGATCCACTGTTCTTTGTCTATATGTGTTATAGCTTTGTAATACATTAATGGATTGTTATAGACTTTGTTAAGGAATTTGTTAAATTCTGTTAGATACATAGCTAGGTTTATATTGTCTTTGTAATTTAAACCTATAGTTTGTTTAACTAGTCTTTACTCTTGTGTAGAGTGTTGTATGACAGGTTCTTTATCTTTATTATTGTTATTAGGAAGAGTTTTATCATCATTTAATGTATCATCATTATGATTATTCTCCCCTTCAATCCTAGACATTAGTTTGTCTATGAATTGTATGTTGTGTTCAATAGTAACTTTATTATCATAGCACACTAAGTGACCTTTACTGTTGTTATTATAACCTAGCCATTGTGTGTGTTGGCCTCTAGGTTGTAGTTTATGTGTTTGTTTGTTCTGTATAATACAATATACACTGAATTCTCATATATTATCTATTTGATAATGTTTGTTATACTGTTTGTAATATAGTGTTGTGAAATTAATAGCAACTCTCAGCATTCTGTTATAAATAAACATTTGATTTTGTACTACATATACTCAGAATTTCATAAGTAACTTTGCTAATAACAGATACATATGTACACTGTTAAAGATAGTCTTATGTATACATTCTGCAACTCTGTTCTACTACAGTGTATTGTGTACTGTTAATCTACATATTGTTCCTTGACTTTCAATATACATAGTAAAGTCTTTACTTAGGAACACTGTATTGTTATTACTTTAGAGAGTTTTAACTCTTATACTGTACTGTGTAAAGAGTCTCATTGTATACTTTACATATTCAGTGAAAGCATTACTTTTATGCTACATAGGTAGTATAGTTACCCATTGTGTAGCATTATCTACAATAGTAAAAAGATATTTGTACTTACTGTAAGCTTGTACTAGGGCAGGTCCCCAAATATTAATATGGAGATGATCTCTATAAGATTGTGTAAGAGGTGTTGTTTGTATTTTTGGTATTTCATTGTATTGTATGTTTGCTTTAATACAATCTGTACACTGTACATTTTTATTGTCTATTATCCTTTGACTTATAATCTCAGGATACTCTTGTATGAGTTTGTGCAAGTAATCAAAATTAACATGACTCATTTGTTAATGTAAATCAACAATAGTGATTGTGTTAATAGATTGTTTATTACAATGAGAAACTATCATATACAAGTTATTTCATACATGTATTTCACTAATCTTTGTATGAGCAGGAGAATAAATAATACATTCATTGTTTGTTTTCATTAAAACATATCCTACTTTGTATAATAGTGCTTTACTAACAAGCATGAAGTTCAGATTGGGATAATAGTATAT